GGAAGTGATTCCGAGTTAAAATATAATCGGGAGCTAAATCGAACAAGTTAGAGCTTCGAAGTCTAAGTAAAAGCCCAAGGAATTAACCAAGATCGCGTTCGGGAGCCAAGTCTGGATGTCAAATAGTGAAGAAAATGAAATACTCTGTAAAAAACCCATTGTCGCGCCGCATGGGGCGGCGCGACAGTGTACAATTCTGTCTTCCCTCAAAAATTCACTCTCTAAACTTTTCCACTAGCACACTGCATGGCGCGGCTCGTCTGTACTATTTTCTTAGAGTTTTTTTATGTTTTGGCTTGGAAAGGGTACTCCTACATGGTATAAATACACCAACAAGATGTTTTTGAAGGGATTTTTGAACTTGGAAGCTTTTGGAGAGCATTCGAGGTTACAAGACACAAGATTTCGTTATCTTTCCATCAATTCAATATGGGAAATTGGATTGTAACTTTAGATTGATGTTTTCTTACTCTAATTATGTTTGTGATGAATGTCTCCATGATTATGGAGTATTTTCGCTTAGGGTTTGAACGAATATGGTGTTTTGATTGCTATTTGTGGATTTTAACTCTAGTTCTTTGCTTGAATTTGTTTATGGAGCTTTAAATTATTGGCAATTTTATTCACCGGTTTATTTAATCGAAAGAGGAATATGATTATCTTGCATTATTTTGTTTGGTTTAATTCAGTGATTCTCTTAAGTAATCGAAATTATCTTATTGAATTGTGGATTAAATCAAGTTAGGAGAATATTCGAGAGACCTTCTCCTGAAGACTAAACTATTAACGCATGCTTGTATATTTTCACAGTGCTTATATTAGTTCACGTCGTAGAGTTAAGATTTAATCGAGAGAGGAGTCTTGACTGCACCTTTGAATTAATCATCGAGTGAATCATTAGAACATTAGAGTAAATTGAACTATAGTTGGATCCCAAATAGCCATCTTGTACCTATTATGTCATGATCCTTATTTCTCACACTAACAAGAAACCAATTCTGCTAATCTCTATTTTGTTGCAGTCAATTGTCAATTACTTTACTTTAGTAGTTAATCGTAGTTCTAAATCATTCCAAATCAAGTTTTGATCATTTGAATAGCAGTTAAACCAGAAATTACTAGAGCATTATTTAAATCCAATCCTTATGGAGACGATAATTTTACTATATTATGTTTGGCTAGCGAACATTAATTTTGTGTTGTATTTTGTGCTTGTCAAAATTTTGATATCTTAAATGGGTCCTAAAGATGAAAAGACACTTTGGTATTTATAACATAAAAATGAAGCAAAGAACGTCAAAGTATGTAGTTAATAAATTTGAAGGAAGTACTTCAACATGTTGGGAGAAAGTACTAAGAGGAAGGATTAGGAATGAACAAATGCTAGTTTAAAAAAAAATTCTTTCGAAAAGAATAAAAGAGCAAGTAAACTAATAAAAAACTGAAACATAAGATAAATACAAGAAAAGATAAGAAGAAATGAGTCTACCCTCCATAGATTTGCTATCTTCTCATACAATAAAACTAATAATTCTTACTGCTTTAGTCATTCCACCAATTACTCGTCGATAAAAAAAATGAGTAAATTCAGCTAATCTTCTTATCCCACAGACTAAGAATCTTGTATAAAATGTGTAACAACCCTGCCAGTTATTTTAAGTATTAGAGCCTTGTTTTTCTATTTGATGCTTCTTGTTTATTTGTTTGATATTTTGTTACTTGCAGGGATGGTCAGTTTGGTTTCGGAAAGGTTTGAGAGTGAATTGGAACATTTAGTTTTATTTTTGAAAGCTTAAGTTGCTAGAGTTGATCAAGGTTTAACTTTTGAGTAAACAGCTCAGATTAGTGATTTGGTGGTCGTAGTAGTTTCGTATGGTAATTTTGGACTTAGGCGTATGTTCGAATTTGGATTTAAAATTTTCTAGAAGATTTGACTTTATGACGAGCGCAAAACACAACACGAATTAATGCTCGCGAGCCAAAGATAGTATAATTTAATTATCGTCTCCACAAGGATTGAATTTAAATAACGTTCAAGTTCAAGTAATTTCTAGATTAAACACTATTCAGGATGATTAACTCTTTGATTGGAATGATTATAAACAAAAATTAACTATTAAAACTATAGCCATTAACAGTTGATCAAGGAGAACAAAAATTGAGCAACATAGAAATATCAGTGTGAGAAATAAGGGTCGTTACAAGATATGTGTAAGATAGCTATTCGGGATCTAACTCTAGTTCAATTCACTCTAATGCTCTAAAGATTCTAATGGTAGGCTATAATTACATATTTTAGTCGCTTATATCACTCTAATTCACTGCACTTTACTTGTTTTGAGCTTTAATTGATAGTGTTTTGCACTAATTGTGTGTTCTATGCCGTGTTGGAGTGGTTCCAAGTGATGTAGATTTTATGGAGCGAATTCGAGCTATTTGAAGGTTTGAAGTCTGAGTAAAAGCCCAAAGGATGAAGCCAGGATCGCATTCGAGGGTCGAGGACCAAGTCTGGACGTCGAAAATCAAGTTTGAAGAATTACTCTAAGAATTTTCCACAGCCGCGGCACGTGGAGCAGCGCATGGGGCACCGCGGCTGCACAAAACCTGCTGCCTTCAAAAGTGGTAGCTTCCTAAAGATCCCCGCTACTGCCCCGCCTGGCACATCTCCCCATGCGGCGCGCTTGTGCAATTTTTACAGAGTAGATGTCCTATTTCGGCTAAGAGAAGGTGATTTCGTTTGGGCCCGACCCCACTTGGTATAAATACATGGGAAGACGTTATTTTCTTGACCTTTGACATATTTTAGACTTAAGGAGGCTAAGGAGGAGTTAGAGAAGCAAAAGCTCAAGGATTTCATCATTCATTCCTCACTCAAGACCCGAGTTTGGATCGTTTTATGTATTCTTGTACTTTAAACATATTTGTGATGAATTTTTCCATAACTATGGAGTAGTTCCCTTTAGGGTTTGATGGATTTGGTGTATTGATATTTTTTTGTGGATTATAACTCTAGTTTTATGTATTGAATCGTTTTGGATGATTTAATTATTGCATATATATTAACTTGTTCAAGTAATCGAGAGAGACATAACTTGTGATATCTTTGCATTATATTGTTGGTTGAGTTCAGTAATTCTTCTCAGTAATCAAAATAGGCTAGTTGAATCATTGATTAAACCTAGTTAGGAGGATAATCGATAGAGGTTCTCCTAAAGACCAATCCACTATGCATTCTTGCATATCTTCACAGAGCTTAAATTGGTTCATCTTGTGAGGTTGAGACTTAATTGAGAGAGGAGTTTCTGCTAAACGTTTGAACTAATAATTGAGTGAATTCGAGAGACTCACTTGAATATTAGAAGTGAATTATCTAGAGTTAGATCCCAAACAATTATCTTGCACCTATTCCATCAAAACCCTATCTCCTCCCATTGATATCTTTCTTTACTTATTCCTTTGTTCAATTGTCACTAGTCAATAGTTTAGATTCTTAGTTAATTTTAGTTAGAAATCATATAGTTCTCAACTATTGATCATCTTGGATAGCAATCAATCTAGAAACTACAAGAACGTTGTTTAAATCCAACCCATGTGGATACAATATTATATTATACTATATTCGACTAGCGAGCATATTTAAGTGTATGTTTTGCGCTCGTCAAATTTTGGCGTCGTTTCCAGGCATTGGCAATCAATAGTGTTTGATATAGTTTGTAGTGCTAATTTAGGAACTTTTTCCTTTTTATTTATTTTTCCCTTTTGACGGTTGGTGTTCTTTGATTGTGCGCAGGTTACAGGTTAGATTAGTGCATGACTGGATCTTCTGGGAAAGAAGTTCTACCATACGAACCAGAGATAGAAAAACAACTGCGACAGCTGAGGAAGGAAAGAAATCTCATCGAGAATTTAGAGAAGGTTGGGCAATCCTCAACCAGAGAAACTATGGCTGGAGACGATGATGATAATGTTGATTTGGATGCAAGAGAGGCAGCCTAGCAACGAGAAAAACTGCACGGGATGCTGAGGAAGTAGCAATTAGAGATGCACAGATTATCTATGAAGAGGAGAGGGCTCGAAGAATTGCTCAAAATCAACCCTTTGCTGCAACCCAGTTCGGAAATATAGCTACCGGTCCTGGGAGATCACTTGGCAATTACGCTAGACCGGTCTACAACCAAGGATTATCAAGTGTGAGGCCACCTCAAATTGCAGCTAACAATTTCGAGTTGAAGCATGGGTTGCTCCAAACCCTTCAGAATTATTGTGTCTTCAGAGGGAAGATGAAGGAATATCCAAACACATATCTAATGGACTTTGAGAAGATTATGAACACCTTTCAATACAATGGTGTGTCACAAGATGTAGTTTACTTAAGGGCATTCTCCTTCACACTCAAATATGATGCAAAGCAGTGGTTTCGAAGCTTGCCTACGGGATCGATTAGAACATGGGATGAGATGACCAGAAATTTTCTTGATAAATATTTCTAAACAGCTAAGACGGGCAAGTTTAGAAGAGAAATCCATAACTTCTATCAGAAAGAGACTGAAACTATGTTTGAAGCATGGGAGAGGTTTAAGGAGATAGTGCGAAAGTGTCAACATAGCGGAATCGAACTCTGGATGCAACTCTAGGAATTTTGGGATGGATTAAACTGGCCTCACATAGAACATTGAGCAATGCATATGGAGGACCGTTGATGAAGATGACTTCAGATGAGATAGTTACAATTCTTGATGAGTTGTCTGAAGATGCAATTTAGTGGCCCTCTGAGAGTGCTAAAAGAAGAAGAAGATCAACTGGTGTTCACCAAGTTGATAATAATATTTCTATACAGGTACAGCTTGATGCCATGGCCTAAGAAATATGAAAGCTGACCTTAGCCACAATACAGAGTGAACCTCATCATCTTGTGATATATGTGGAAGAGGGCACCCTACTCATGAGTGTCAAGCCTCAACTAAGGAAGTGAATGTTGTGGGTGATTATACTTCAATGCAATGAGTCAGAAGCACCCCAGTTTTTCATTGAGTTCACCTGGGGGCACTGCAAATACATGGCAACAAAACAACCCCAAATTTCAAGGACAAAGAGATCCTGGTTTTGTGAATCAGCAGAGGCAGCAGTTTCAGCCTCAACAGCCCAATCAGCCTAGTCTAGAAGATCTTATTAAGGCCTTTATTGTGAAAACTGATGAAAGATCTGAAGTACAAGGGGCAGAAATTCGAAATCTACAGAAGTAAGTGGGGAACATTGCAACAATATTATCTAAGAGAGTCCCGGGTACTCTGCTCGCTGATACTGAGAGAAACCCCAAAGAAATAGTGGATGTTGTGACCTTGAGAGGTGGGCAAGTATTGAAAGATCCCACCCCAGTCCAAAACGATGTGGAACCTAAAAAAGGAAGTGGGGAGCAAATGAAAATTGATGTTGATAAGGAGAAGAAAGGCAAGAAGGGAGCTGAGAAAAAGGAAGAGAATTCGAGAAGGGAGGAACCTGAAGAGAGCAAGACATGCCTGCTTTACCTTCCCCCAGAAGCTATATAGAGAAAAGTTGGACAAGCAGTTTAAAAGATTTCTGGATATGCTGAAATAGGTTATTCTAAACTTACCATTCACAAAAGTGCTCTCACAAATGCCAGCTTATGCCAAATTCTTCAAGGAGATCCTGATAAAGAAGAGGAACCTCAGTGGTCAAGTTCATAGAGCATTGCAGCGCAATCTTGCAAAATAAACTCCCATAAAAGTGTGAAGATACAGGTAGTTTTACTATACCTTGCTCATTAGGCACTATTAATTTTGATAAGTCTTTATGTGATTCTGGTGCCTCAATTAACTTAATGCCCTTGTATATTATAGGAAACTGGAGAATGAGATTGGAGAGATAAGGTCAGCACCAATATCTTTGCAGCTGGCAGACCAAACGACTCTGGTACCCGAGGGGATAGTGGAAGATGTGTTGGTTCGGGTAGATAAATTTGTATTTTCTGTAGATTTTATAGTGGTGAAGATGGAAGAAAAAAAGGAGGTCCCCCTCATCCTAGGAAGACCATTCTTAGCAACGGGTAGAGCTATATTAGATATACACAAGAGAAAACTCATGCTTGGAGTGGGTGAGGAGACTGTGACTTTTGAGATGAATGTAGCAACGGGGGTGAAAAGGGATAAACCAACTGCAAGTGTTGAGTGAAAAGTGAAGAGTTCGAAAGAGAAGGCTGCAGTGAGTGAGAAGATAAGTGTGGGGTCCCCAAGAAGGCTGAGAAGAAGTTGTTTGCATAGATGTGTGCATTAATTCGGGCACGGGGAATGGAGCCTGACTTCGACTCAAACCCCGAGTAGATGTTCATGGAAGTTTCATCTACCTTTTGCTTTTTAATTGTGTGCCATGGGGACATGCCACACTTAAAGTGTGAGGTGGAGGATATTTGTATGTTGTATGTATATTAATTTTAGTTTCTTTTTGTTAGTTGTAGTAGTTAGAGATAGAAAAAAAGAAAAAAACATAAAAAAAAATTTGACTTTTTCCGGCCATGGATATCATCGACAAGTTTCTTGAGGGATTAAAGTCGAAGAAAAAAGACAAAAAGATTTTCTTTTGTTAGGTCGTGTAACAAGTCCCCCTCGATTGTTCTTTGTGTCGCGGTTCTTTTCCAAGAGTTTTATTTGAACCCGGTATAGTTAGTTTTTATTTTTTAGGAATAGGAAACCTTGTGCTATGATTTGAAGTGAAGGCAATATCTCTTGACTTTATTATGCCTTGAGAATAGTGAGTGCTTTAGTTGTGACGCTTAGACTCAGTTTTTGACTTTTGTATAAGTACCTTAAATTGTATGATCTTAACTGTGCTTAACTGCTTTGACTAGAGTATCTTGATAGTTCGATCCTGAGTGAATTATGTGCCATGTGTGTCCGAGGTTTTATGTTATTTGTGCATTGCATTTGATGTCTAGAACTTGACCCGTGTGTTTGCAAAACGAAACAGTAGTTTTATTCAGTCTTGGGAGTATCATAGGCGTCTTTGTAGAGCCAGTTATATGCTTTCACCCACCTAATTATTATGTATCTTAATTAACCCCTTTGTGCATGTAATCTTGTTTCTTTGGCAACCACATTACGAGCCTTACCCATTTGTTTGAATTGACCATCTTTTTGAACCTTGTACCTCTCGTTAGCACTTGAGTTTGTATTAACTTTGTAAAAGTTGAGGTGTGGAGTGGTTGGTTTGGCTTTTGAGTGGAACTAATGAAATAAAGAGAAAGGTACACTGTTTTAAAAAAGTAAGAACCACTTGATTGAAAGAGAAAAGAAAAAAAATTGTATGACTGTGAAAATATTCCTTGAAAGTGGTAACTCTTGATGTAATTGTGTTTAAAGAAGTTGGTAGTCGATGTGTATTGATATAAAGGTGGAGTTATGATTTGACATAAGTGTGGGTTTGGAACAATGAAATGTATGTATTAAAGTGCTTAGGGAGGTGTAGTCACTCTTTTAAATGTATCCTACCTATCCGCAGCCTACATTACAACCAAATAAAGTCCTACTTGATTCTTGATTGAATAAGCTCAATTAGTAGAGTAGTACACTACGGGCAAGCCTATGGTACATCTTTTATGGCACATGAATGTGAATTCTTTCTATCTTGAGTTCCTAATTGTTCTTGAATTTTATTGTGTGCTGGAACTACTCTCTATTATTGTCTGAGGGCACTTGATTCATGAAGGAAAGGTAATATTGTTGACCTCTACGTTAGAGTAAGTGAGTGGGTAATAAAAAATGCGTGGTGTTTTTGAGTCAAATCTTGAGGCTGAGATGTTGCGGTATTGCGCTTAATTTGTTTTAAATATTCTTTGTGTCACATCATACTCATCATATAGCCATCCAATCACTCATCGAGCCACAAATTTCACTCATAGGGACACTAATGGACTTATAAGTCCAAATGCACATGCTCACACAACTGAAATCCCCGTGCTCAAGCTACAGTCAAAACCTGGCCTCAAGTCCTCTAGACTGGCCCATCATCAGCACACCGAAATCACATCTCGCACCTCATCCATGGAATCATAGGTCATCGATGCACAGGTGATACCAAGCGCTCACATGCGCATACGAGTGCGTGGAAGGAATTCAAAGAGTTACGCTTCAAGTTGAATCAATGTTGCACGATAAGGAAAGAAAGATGGGAAGTTTATCTTGAATGCCATGTAGCCTCTCGTGATAGGTATGGATGTCATCATACCGATCCGGAAGACTCTACTTGACACTTGCTCATGACTCGTAGAACCTATGAACCTAGAGCTCTGATACCAACTTGTCACGACCCAAAATGCAACTAGTCGTGATGGCACCTAACCAACCCGCTAGGTAAGCCAATTGACAATAAACCAATTCCAATGAAATTTAATGAGACATATAAATAAAAGAAAATATCTAAGTCTTATAAACTTTCCAAGGACAGGTAGTACAAATCATGAGCTTCTAAGATTTAGAGTTTACAAAGCTAGTGAAAAATAAATACATCATCTGTCCGAATTATACATAAACAGATTTTTCATAAGTCTAGAGCTACCATGAATAAGAGGCAGCTATTACTAGAACGCAGGTGTGTCTTCAGTGCTAGATCTTGTCATACACAACAACATGAGCATCCAAGTCAGCACGCAAGGTGCAGAAGTGTAGTATGAGTACACCCGACCCTATGTACTCAATAAGTAACAAACCTAACCTTAGGTTGAAAATAGTAACGAGGTAGGACAAGGGTCAAAGTCCAACTCTAATAACCAGAAACGGTGCATAACAATATAGTAAAAGTGGTACACGAAGTAACTCAGAGATATGATCGATGCTCGGCTCATTCACAGTTACAGAAAAATAGACATGCTTTTCAAGTATAACAGTAAATCACAAATCTTTCACCAAAATCACCAAAAGCAAGAGTAAGTTTGAAAACTGTAATTTTTTCCAAAGCTTTCAACAGGTAATTATTTCATTTTCAAATGGCACGAGGAAAATACATCTCTATGCCTACATGTCAACATGAGAAAAATGCATCTCTATGTATATATGTGAAGTGTTCATGTCGAATGCGATGCAACTCAGTGATAAAACCATATGCATACTCTCAGAGTATCAATTCACTCAGTCCTCCCAGTCACTCAGCCCTCACAGTCACTCAGTCCTTACAGCCACTCAGTCCTCACAGTCACTCAATCCTCCCAATTAGTTGGCACTCGCACCAAGTAGGTACCTGCGCTCACTGGGGGTGTTTACATATTCCGGAGGGGCTCCTTCAGCTCAAGCGCTATAATAAGCCAATCATGGAATAAATCAATAAAACATCTATTGCGGCGTGCAGCTCGCTCCCATTATAAATCAATAATAGTTGTTGCGGCGTGCAACCCGATCCCATCAATATCTTCTGAATCAGGCCCTCAGCCTCGCTCAGTCATCGATCTCTCCAGTCTCTCGGGCTCACAATGTCATGAAAAATCAGCCAAAAAATATAATATATGATATATTAGTAAATGGTAAGTGAGATATGATATGCATATGAATGTGTACGACTGAGTATATAATTGCAATGTAAGCAAATAAATCAACAGAAGAAGTGACCTCAATGGGTCCCAACAGAATAAGCATGTGGCCTAAACATGGTTTCTAACATGGACCACAGCTCAATAGCTCTAGTACGTAGAGATTTCGTGGTTACAGATAAGATCAGGCAACTACACAGTACCACAGAAATAACGGAGTCATAATTCACACAGTACACGCCCACACGCCCGTCACCTAGCATGTGCGGCACCTCAACACCAAACACATAACACGTATATTCAGGGTTCATACCCTCAGCACCAAGTTTAGAAGTGTTACTTACCTCGGACAAGCCAAATCCAATACCGAGCAAGCCAAATGATGCTCCAAAGATGCCATCACGCGCGTACCGACCTCCGAACGGCTCAAAACTAGCCAAAAGCAACTCAAATACATCAAATAATACCAAAGGAAACAAACTAATCGATAAAGGTCGAATCTTTAATCAAAATCCCAATATCGACCAAAAAGTCAAACCCGAACATGTGTCTTGGAACCCGACAAAACTCAAAAAATTCGATAATCTATACAATTACGAGTCCAGCCATACTAATTTCACCGAAATCCGACTCCGAATCGATGTTCAAAACTCAAAAATTCACTCTATGAAACTTTTGACAAAACCCCCCCAAATATCACTTTTGAAATCATCAACCAATTGCCACAAATAAAGATAGATTTCATGAAATATAATAAAAATGAGTAGAGAACACTTACCCCAATTCATGTGATGAAAATTACTTCAAAAAATTATCCAAATCCGAGCTCTCCAACTCTAATATGACCAAATGAACAAACCCTTGATTTATATGCTTCCGCCCAGTTGTTCTGCCTCAATTCTCATGCCAAACGATCCCAAAACTCCCATTTGATGCCTCCAATGGATTCCAATCAAGTTAGACTTTTGAATCACTCCATTTGACCTTATAATGAAGGAGATACGTCGCTTTCAATAATTGCAAATAGTGCAAATTTTTAAATACGAATTCAGTGGTAATTTCGTAATTAATCTAAAAAAATCTCACAACCCAATTCTTAGTAAAATGACCATAAATTCCTCATACGATGTCGAAACTTGATGATTTTAGTTTCTATAGTTCCAAAATTATGATACGGATCTAATGCTTCAATCAAAACAAACATAGGAGCTCATTTGCTTAATCTGTTACCACTTATGCTTGAAGAAACGACGTCGAAACATAAAAAACGAGCGCAACACAACACAAACCTATCCTAAACTCACCCGAACCCATCGGGACCCCGTACGAACATACCAAAAAGTTCTATAACATAATACATACTTATTCGAGGCCTCAAATCACGCATAACAATATCAAAACTATGATTCACACCTCAAATCGAACTTAATGAACTTTGGATCTTTCAACTTCCAAAACTCGTGCCGAACCTTATCAAATCAACTCGGAATCAAATTTTGCACAAAAATCTCAAATGACATAACGAAACTATCAAAATTCTCGAAAACACAATTCGAATTCGATATCGTCAAAGTCAACTCTTGGTCAAATTTATGAACATTCCAAACCTTTAAATTTTCAACTTTCGCCAATTAGCGTCGAAACCTTCTAGAAATAT